ACAATAGTTGTGTGACCCTGCGCCCTTCCAATTAACTTCGCTGCTTAGCTTGGTTATGCTGGTGCAACCGTAATGTTTCCATTTCTGGATCTCAGCTCGGTACCTTATTTGCTGAAGAGCCCTGAACCTCCTGAACCTTGTGCCTAGTACCTTGCTGAGACCACCTGTAGCTTCTGCCTCCCAGATTGTCCTGAACTGAAGGACAGGAAGGGGGGCTGTGCACGTTGGGCAGATGAAGTGCTGGTTCTTGGGCCTAAGACCCCGTCTGCAGTGGGCTGACCTCCTCTAGGATGTATGCCTCAAAAAGCACTTGTGTCTTGGCAAATATATTGGTATTTCTGTGTCCCTGCAGGCAGGTGTGGGCACAGGTGAGGAATTTGCAGTCTATTTGGCAGCTGCCTTGCCACCCCTGGGCTGAGGCAGAGATCTCTTTGCGTTAACTGACCAAGCTGCTGGGAGGAGTGAATATGTTTTATCCAGCTACCTAATAGGAGGGGATAGAGAAGACACAGCCAGGCTCTTCTCAGGCATGCACAGTAAAAAGACACAAATGACAGGAAGAGAGAACTTGTCACAATGAAGGTGGCATTTCCATCCTTGGAGATACTCAAAACCTGACTGGATGTGGCCCCGAGTAATCTCATCTGCCTTTGAAGACTGCCTGCTTTGAGCTGTAGTTGGACCAAGGACCTCCTGAGGATACCTCCACGTACATTTCTCCACCACTTTGTCTGCGCTTTGTGGCAGGGAGCATGTTGCTCCTGACTGCCCTCAGCTGGGAGGTGCCTTGTCCAGAGGGTCTCTGAGGATGTGGACATCTCAGCTAGAAGTATCTGAAAGCAGAGCAAAGCCCATAACGATGGGATTCCTGAAGGCAGTTACCTGCCGAGTGCTTTGTCCTGCTTTGTTTTTATCACCCAAAGAGTGTCTGCTGTTTGAGCAGATTGACGGTATTTATGCGATGCTGTAAGTGTCCCCTTGCCTGGTAATTATACTGATTAATCCGGATCATACTGGAAAGCCACGTGTGCCTTGTACCAGAGGGTATGCCACCATGCGTCTGTATTATTCAACTATAACAGATGCTGACAAGAACTAGGGAGACGAGTCTGAGCTAGAGGTTGTTCTTGCTTTGTTAGCAGTGTCTGGGAAGGACAAAGTTTGGCAGCTTTTCTGGCTGGAAAGAAGGTGAATCTTGGGAGATGATAGCCAGGATTTTTCCCTGTTCTACACACGGCAGTGGAGGTCCCTGCTTCTTCTGTCTCTGTGCCCTGAGAACAGGTCTGCCACCATCACTTGCTGCTGCTTTTGCAGAGTCCCTGGGGGTCAGGTTTTGGGAGCAGAGGCTCTTCTGGCTCTAGGAGACAGAACCACACAAGTCTGCTGCTGGTGGGTGTTTATGGCAGCACTCATAGCGCCATATTCAAGGAATTGGTGTGGAGCATGTTTGGAGACCCTGATTTGTCAAGGCCGCTAGCAAATGGTAAGTGGTACCTCAGTCTAAAAGGCAAAACCAGCCTGACTCTTGGGGTAGCAGCCTGGTGTGGCCCGTGCATCTTTAGGGGGAACAGCTTTCTCAGTGGCAGTCCTGCTGGGGCTCCTACAGGCATGGGGCATGCGGCAGTTCGTCTGCATCAGACCCCCACTTTTCCAGGATGGACTAGACAAACAGCATCTTGGCAGGAGGTGGTTTCTGCTCGCAGCCTGCACCCCCGTCAAAGACAAGGATTTTGTCTGTCTCGTGCCACTAGAAGAACTGGAGCTGGCTGGGGCCGTTTGTCTGCCCTGCACATGCCAAATGGCCTGGACTTGCTCCCCGCTGGGACGGGTGACCTTGGAGGTGTTCTGGGAAGCGCCTGAGCACTTTCCTCCCATCTTGCATGGTGTATTATGAGCTATATCATTATGAGCAGCTCAGTTAAGTCATTACAGCCTTGGTGAATGCATGAGCTTTTTCCCTCTCATCCCAATTCATCACTATTGTGCTGACATGAATCATTTTCATTATAAAATGCTTCAGACCCTGCTAATTAACAGAATTGCTTAAATTTCAATGAGATAGTGCTTGCCCAGAAATAACGGGTTTATATTCATAGTGGAGTGGCAGGAGTGGCCTATAAGCATGGCTGGCTGAGGGCAGTCCCATGCAGCCCTGGGGAGATGGTGCTTGTGCAAGGCCAGTGCTGCCTGCTCTCAGATGGGAGCTTGCAGTTCTCGCTGGGACACGTGCCTGGAGGTGCATTCGTAGCTCCCTTGTCGGCGCTGCCTCAGCCCCTTTGGACCAGGTGGGCTGGGACTCCTGGTCAAATAGCTGCCTCTGAACAGACCCAGATGAATGAGGGAGCCAGGGCAGACCCTGGGCCCCATCGCAGGGTAAACACCTGCTGTCCTCCTGTGGAGGGGTTGGGATGCTCCCTAGCAGAAGTTCTGCAGTGCTCCGTGCTGCCTCTGACCTGCGTGCTGGCCAGGAGCATGGACCTCGGTGATCGAGCGGTAGAAGGGCTGAGAGTTACCTGAGTGTGTAAGCGGGCAGATGCTGGACGTGCTCGAGAGACGGTGGATGAGATGGAGCCTTCTCTCAATTCATGGGGCTGAAGGCAGTGTGAGTCCAGGTAATTACAGAAAGACAAGGGAAGCTGGGTGAAATTGTGCCTATCCATGAGAGCTGGGGAGCTGCAAGGGTCTGAAATGGTCATTATGTCTTTATAATAAATCCTAACAATGATAATCATTGGAATAATTGCTAGTTTCAGAAAGCAAGGAGAGATAAATGTCTGCAGAACAGTGTTGCCAGCTCCTGCTGCACCTGTAATGTCATGCAAAGGGGGAAGGAATTTCATCCTCCCAGCTCAGTGGCATTTCTGACAGACTTTGGGCCACAGCACCGGTGGCTCTTTGGTGTGACCCGTCCACCCATGGCCTTTGTCAGGAGGTGCACAAGGTCACGCCAGGCATGAACGGGTAAACTGTGGCAACGCGCTGGCTGTGGAGGGCTGGTGCCTGGAAGCCTCAGGGTACGTCCCTGAAGCCACGTCTTGTCTGCTTGCAGCCTGCTGGCACCCAGCTCTCCCCTCCGCTGTGCTCAGGTTGTGATGAAGGCTTCCCAGAAGTGTCTGCCTTGAGCCAGGTGGCTTGGATGGCTGTGATGCTCTGCCATTGCTTGCTTTGTTGCATGTCAGCAAATGTCTTGCAAGTCGCTGAGAGCAACTGGATCATTCTCTGCTGTTCGCTCGGCAAGGGAGGAGCTCCTTGTTCCCTCCAAGTCAGACCCCTTCGCTGGAGACCCACACCGACAGCCAGGCACCCCCCTTCCAGCATCCTCCTTAACACCAGGCAGGATTACTGGTGAAACAAAGCAAAGATGGATTTTGTAGTTCACAGTAGGAGGAGGTAAAGCTAATAGTTAAACAGAAAAGCCTGGAAGAGAGAGCAATTACAAAAACAGAAAACAATGTCTAAATCTGTGGGAATGTTAAGAAACTGAGCTGGAGGGGATTTTAAGCTGATTCCTAGCTGTTCTGGGATGTTGCTGGTATAGTGGGACTGGGAATGTGCCGCTAATGACCTTGCATCCATGTATGCACTCATGCGTGCCCCTGGTGCCACCTCAGGGCAGAGTCATTTCTTTCTTTCGTTCTCAAAATATTTCTTCTCTGCTTTGTTTCCATGTAAATGAAACACTCCTGGGTGACATAGGAAGTTGTAACTTCTGCCATTCACAGTGGTTTCTGGGTTTTACTACTCTGTTTCTTGTTTTACATTCCTTTATATTTTAGTCCTGGTCATTTCCCCCAAGCCCAGATGACTACTGAAGACCTATAAACACTTTTTTTAAGAGACTTCGTTTCATAAAAAGTACTAACATACCATATATTTTGTTAAGCTTTACGGTCTCTAGTTCATTCTCAGCCCTTGACACAGAGCATGTATGTCATCTCTGGTCTCTTTAACTTAGAAGGACACTTGAAAATGAGGGGTTTTGTGCAGACGGACTTTTGGAAATACACTGCCTCCCCCCCCCCCCCCTCTCCAAATCAAATAGCGGTCCCTCCGGGCATGCTTGGGCCATGAGGCACCTGTGAAATGGAGCTTGGGCTCAGAACAGCGATGTTCTGTTAGGAATGCTGTGGCAAGCCTGGCTCCTGCTTGAGCAGATAAGGATAAGTGGGCTGGTGCAGATTTGTGCCAAAGGGGTTTCGTGACTCAGCGTGGGCTTTTACACAGCCTTTCTGTGCAAACCTTGAGGCTGGCCCCCGCTGGGCGAGTCCTCTTGTTCCTGTGCCTCTGGCCCCCACCAATCCTTCACTGGGCTCCTGGCCTCCCTGGAGAGAAGTACAAACCTCCTCTGAGCTGGAGTTTAACCCTGTCGGAGCTACCGGCAGCCTGCAGTAGAAGCAGCAGTCAGGAACCTTTCATGCAGTGTGCCTGCAAATCGGCTGCAGAGGCTTGCTGGGACCAGGTTGGGCCTGGGCTCTGGGGGGATCTTCAGGATGTTTCTGCCTGGCTGACACCCCCCTGGGCTTGTTCTTCTCTCTAGAGATCTTTTCTCCCCTCAGTTGGCTTTTGCTTATGTCATCTCTGTGAAGGCTGCAAAAGGGTTTGCTCTCCTTTGCTGGGGCCCAGCAGATGATGGTGGTTGTTGCCAGCAACGTGCTCCCATGGTAGAGGTGACCCACGGCACCTAGGGCTGCGTTAGGAAGGGCATCGCCAGCAGTTGAAGGAGGTGACCCATCCCTTCTACTCTGCACTGGTGAGATGACGCGAGTGCTGTGCAAATATGAGACGTGGGCATACTAGAGTGAGTCCAGGGAAGGGCCATGAAGATCGGTGAAGTATTGGAGCATCTGCCGTATTTGGAGAGGCTGGGAGATCTAGCTGATCCTGTTTAGAGCTGGGGCTTGGATAAGGTAAATTCCAGCGTCCCCTTCCAGCCTCACCCCGTCTGTGACTGCGGATGCTCTGCGACCTGCCTGTGCTCACGCTGTCCTGCTGGTTTCCAGGTGTGATCCGGACAGCCGTGGCTGACCTGGACCGTGAGACGCAGGACCGGTATGAGGTGGTGATCCGCGCAACGGACATGGCAGGACAGCTGGGTGGCCTGTCTGGATCCACCACAGTCACCATCGTAGTCACTGATGTCAATGACAACCCACCACGCTTCCCTCAGAGTAAGTCCTGACAGCAGTGGGGGGTGAGCGCTGGCCCTTGTCCTGGTTCTGGCCCCTTGTGGGTGGTGGGACAGTGTCCTGGTTTCCTGGCTAAACCACGACAGACAGCAGCTCAGCTCCCGGCACAGCCTGGCACGTGTCTGCAGGGTGAGTCGGCCCGGCTGCTCATGCTGCTTGCAGGGTGGCAGAACCAAGGTACCATAGCATGCACAGCTTCTTGCCTGGATCTGAATGTGTTCCTGCCTGGCAGTTTGGAGGGGCAGCTGCCTTGGCTGACCCCCGCTCCTGGTACTAGTCCTGGGAGTGAGCAGGGCTGTGTGCTGGGGAGAGCAGAGCTGGCCCTTTCCTGAACCCTCTCTGAGCAGCGCTGGGGGAGAAGGCAGCCTGCTCCGTGCTGCTGTCTCCTGGGAGCTTGGGCAAGGACTCGGCTGCTGGCCTGGCTCCTCATGGCTCCGCGTCAGGGCTGGGCACGCTCTGCCCCAACGTGAGGCATGGTGACCCTGCCCAGCTCACAGACAGCAGCCTTGTCACAGGACAGCTCTGTTTTCCAAGTCACTGCTAGTGGCCTGTGGCTCAGGCTTGTGTCTTCTCTGGGATCCTCCCCAAACGAGGAAGGTGGGTGATCCTGCTGCAAAGAGTGGGCTGTGCAATCTCTGCAGTGCACGCCAGCAGCAGAGACCGGCAGCATGGCTGGCAGACCAGAAGGGGTACTGCAGCTGGAGGAGGCTCAGCTCTTTAGCTGCATCTTCTAGAAATTAGAAACGGTAAAGTTTGCAAAGATTCAGAGAACACTGATTGCAGGGCAGTGTCCATACAGAGAGATCAGCCCTTACTTCACCCGGCACCTTGAAACATTAGTGCTCCCCAGTTGTCTTCCCTCAGCCCTTGTTTTTGGCGGGGTGTGTGTTTCTCCTGGTAGGGCATTCTGGACTATAGACGCTGGCAGAGTTTGGGCAGCCCTTGTAGTGCAAGGGTGTCCCCAGGGAGGTGTGTGAAGGGCTATATCAGGCAGGAGAAGGGGGTTCAAAGGCAGAAGCAGTGACCCTAGTACCTTTTTCTCCTCCAGAGATGTATCAGTTCAGCATTGTTGAAACTGCCCCTGTGGGCACCGCCATCGGGAGGGTGAAAGCAGAGGACTCTGACGTCGGGGAGAACACGGACATGATGTATCAGGTGAAGGATGAGGAAGGGGTGGAGGTGTTCAAAGTCATCACGGACAGCAATACCCAAGAGGCTGTCATCACGGTACAGAAGGTGAGAGATGAGGAAAGCTGGTTGGGCAGGGAGGGCGCAGATCTCTAGGAGGGCCTTTTCCTTTGGGGGCTCCTGCTGCTGCATTTGAGTTGAAATAAATGCTCCTCTGAGTGCTGCTTTAGCAGTAGCAGTTGCATTTTTGTGCCTGCAGGTGCAGGGAGAGACCTGCTTCTGTTCTGCCTGGATGGCAAAACACAGACCTGTGTCTGGGAGGAAAGGCTGAAAAGGAGCAGCAGCACAGTGCCTGCTGGAGCCTGCGCAGGGTGGCTCCCTGGGTGGCAGTGAAGAAGCGAGCCATGCATAGGTGAAGCTGTGCATAGGGCTGCGGACACGAGTGCTTACAGCTTTTATTGATAGCACCTGTTGGGGAGAGATATGCCCACCTAATTCCTATACCTGACCAACGGCACTTTGAAAGCATCTGCTTTTGGTGGCAAAAATAATCAAGCAAGCACTTGATGCAGGCAAGAAAGAATGGTTGTTCACCGAGGCCACTGCATTCAGTTCACCTCCCCTGTAGAAATAATAGCAGGGTGATTAATGATCAAAACCCGCTCACTTGCAGCACACAATGTGCCGTCTTCCCAGTGAATCCTGGCTGCCTGCACAACCTGGACACCCGGCTGGGGGCCCTGGGGGGAGCAGGCTGGAGGCCTCCTCCTGCCCACCTTGGTGTGGGCACTGCCAGCAGAAGGGCAGAACACGAACTCCCAGTCTCCTGCAGAGGTGCTGCCGGGGGAGCAGGTGGTTTAGTGCTGCCCCTGATGTCTCCGGGGAAGGAAGGGGCAGCAGGGGAGCTCCTCGGGCTGGGTACAGCTAACCCTCTCCTGTTGTCCCAGCCGCTTGACTACGAGTCGAAAAAAGTGCACACTGTCGTGGTGGAGGCCCTCAACAAGTTCGTGGACCCGCGGTTCGTGGACCTGGGCACTTTCCGGGACCAGACCATTGTGCGGGTCTCGGTGCTGGATGTCGATGAGCCCCCCGAGTTCCGGCCCCCCTCCAACCTGATGGAGGTCCAGGAGGACGCACACGTTGGCTCTGTCGTGGGGGTGGTCACCGCCCTTGACCCAGACACAGCGAACCATCCTGTCCGGTAAAGCAGCCGCCTAAACCTCGCATCATCTTCCTTCCAGCGGTGGGCGTGGGGTCACCCGCAAGGGACGCGTGTGGCCTGAGGGGGCTGGTGGCCATGGCCGGGGCAGAGGGCAGGTGGTGGCAGAGGAGGAGGGGCAGTGCAGGTGAAGGTGACAAGCGCTGCATGCGTGGCCAGGCACGTGAGTGTGTCCTACGGGACAGGCAGCTGGCAGGTGAGCGGCAGGCCGTGCACAAGCAACAGGCAGGCAAGAGCAGCCATCTCACAGGTGACATACGTCACTGGCAAGCAGTGGATTTGTGAGTGGCAAGGGAATGTCGGGGAAGGTGGCTGGGTGATGCTTGTATGTCCTTGCTGCTGACAGTGAGGCATCTGCAATGGTGCCTGATGCAGGCCAGACGAGTGACCAGAAATGACAGGAGGGCAGTGATGAAGGATGACAAATGAGGTGAGGCTTGGGAGGTGCGGAGCCACAGCTTGCCTCTGTGTGTGTGTGCGTGCATGCGTGCACAGGGATTGAAGATCAGAGGAGTTTATATTTGGGCAGGAGACATAATCCAGGCAGCAGCTTATCTGCACAGGACATTTCCTATTTCCATTTAATTTGTGGCTAAAGAGATTGTTACCTTGTTAAATTGCTATTACCTAAGGCATGAAGCAGCCTTCTGGCTCTGCCAACTGGCCTGAGTCATGAGCAGTTGGGTTGGAAACTGGTGTTCAGCAAACAACCTCAATGTGTGGAAAATTTCCTTGAAATGTGTGTTCTTGTGCCAGGTGATGGCAGGGCTGCAGGCACCTTGTGCACAGCTGCTCACTTCAAATGAGCAGTGGTGGCTTTGCATTTGAGAGCTCTGTAGGGAGCCTGTCCCAGGCAGCAATAGACTGGGACACGACAGGGACGTCCTGCAGAGGAGGACGTGGCCAGGGAGGGCTCAGTTACAGTACTGATGCCATTCGATGATGTTGCCATGCGGCTGCTTGGGGTGCTGAGCTCCAGTGCTGTGGAGCCATGGGGAACGCACTGGTTCAAGGTGGCCTGAGGGGTATCTCAAGATCTTCATGGAAATGAAGATTGAGATGTTTAGAAAGATCGGAGAAGAATTCACACATGGAAAGCTGCCATCTAGAGATGCCTGGCAGCTAGCAGAGAGTACTGTGTCACAGAGCTGGGTGCTGAAAGTTGTCTTTGGGGTGAACGTGAATGAAATCAGCCTTGGCATGCCAGGAACTAGAGCTGTGTATGTGAGTGTTGCACCAGTTGCACTAGTCGGTGCTGTCAGTTGGACGTGTTCTCAGAGTACCTCTGCTGACCTTGTCATGTGGCTACCCTCTCTATTCAGGCTACATGTCTGATTTCTTTCTTTGTGGCCTGCCCTGAGCACGTGGCTGTTAGATTTCATTCTTCAGATGTGTGCAGTCTTTCTACCCCTCTGTGTGTGTGTGTGTGTACATGTGTGCATGTGCTTTTTCACTTGACTGTTTCTAGCAGTGCTACAGAACATAGATTTTATTTTCTGATCTGTAATTGTAGGAAAGGGGCCTTGGGGACAGAACTATGCTTATTCTCATTTTTTCTTGTTCTTTGTGCTGCTTCCTGGTGGAGCTTGTTGCATTGTTTGCAGACAGAACAAAAGAAAGCAGAGGAGGGAGGCTTTCTACTACTGTGCAGAAGGTGATGGGGACTTGGAGCAGAGAGAAGCAGATTCAAGTACTCAGCAGGAGCAAGAGGGTTAGAGCCCAAACTTTGCTATGCAAGTCTCTCTCTTATGGTAAGCTTAGTGCCAGACGAGGCAATGCTTCATGCTCAGGCACGAGGGCCCAGCCAACAGGACTCCCAGGCATCTGCTGCAGCTTGGGAATTGCAATGCGTTTCCCCTTGTCAGGCTTGATGCATTCAAGTATGTGTCCTCCCTCCAGCTGTCCCCAGGCAGGTAGCTCATCCTGCGTCCCCCATGCTCCCCTGTGGCATTTGGTCTCTATCCGTCCATCTCTCCACTCTCCTCTGTTCTTGCAGTGCCTGCTGTCACGAGCAGTGGCAGCTCCGTCCCCTTGGCGCTTGCCTGGGGAGCGCGGGTGGGTGAGCCTTCCCTGCCATTTTAACACGTACCAAGTGGAGGTGCAGTTTTACATTGGTCACGCTGATGTGGCACCAATGCAGGAGGACAGTGCTGTGGATCTCTCCTGCTTTCCTGTCCTCTGGCTAGCCAGGTAATTTAATAAAATACTTGGCCACGTAGGCAGCTGTTCACAGCTTCAAAGTGGTGCACAAACATTAATGCAAGCATCCTGCAGCACCCTGCCAGGATGTGACGCTAACCCGTCAGCAGGAGACGACAGTAAGTCACCTCTCATTTCAAGTGTGCTACTCGCATTTCAAGTGAACAGTCACAAGAAGCCAGCACTTGTACTTCACCTCTATACATTAGAGAGCAACTGGTCCTGACAGCATGACCAGTATTTGATCCTCAGCTCCTTGAAGTTGGTATGAACCCTTTCAAGTCGCTGCGGTTCAGTGGATCCCTTTTAACTTCCTGATCCTCGTCTGCTAGGGGTGGGAGCAAAGGCATGGCTGTGTTTCTGTGGTGGCTGCTGTCTCCTGGACTCTGGTCTGTGTGTTGGCTCTGCCCGGTAAATAGGGGAGAGCCTCAACCTTCTGTCATGATGAGATGCACTCTCCCCTTGAGGCAGGAAAGAACAAGGATTGCCAGAGACAGCAGAGCAAAAATTAGCTCTGTCAGCGTTTCCAGGTGCTGCTGACACCAGGCTGCCAATAACGAGGTCTGGGAAGTATTTTTAGCCAAATGGGAAAGGAGGTGCCCTTGGCACTTTGTTTTCATCCCCTGTCCAGCACAAACAGGGCTGTGTGGCTCCTGCTGCACCATCCAGCCTGAAGCAGCTGCTGGAGGCACATTTCAGCCTGGCTCCCCTGCCCTCCCGGTGATCCGCTTGTCCCGCAAGGATGTGGCCACTTGGTGTGAGAACAAATCCCTTCCAGACAAGCTGGGCCGGGTTGCAAAGTGAGCTGTTACGAACACTTGAGGCTGAAGGGGCGTCCGACTCCCCTGTTCTTGGGAGGCTTCCCTGAGGCGCTGCTTGCTGCCCCTCTCCCAGCTGCTCACGGACGTGGAGCCCCTGGCAGCTGCTTGCCTGGGTGGGAGGAGAGCTGGGGCGTAGGGTGCCTGAAGGGCACCCCATCTCTCTGGGTGAGCAGCTCCAGCTTGTAGCTGCTCAAGAGGGATGCCCTCCCTCCCGTGCTGAGGCTGTGAAGCAGGGAGTCATGCTGAAGTTCAGCACGGCAGAGGGGCTGCACGCATCCTCTGAGGGAACACGAAAACCCACCATGGTACAGGCAGGAAACGCCTTTCTATAAAGGACCAGCGCTTTTTATTTTATTGCATCCTTCTTTGTTGGCTAACAAAAGCTGGAACCACTCTTTTTCAGAAAGAATTTAGTTTCCAGTTGGCTTTTTGGCTTTAGCTGTACGTTTCCTGGGCGTAGTGCAATTTTTCTCGGCTGAGCCGTTGTATGAGGTAATACAGTGATAGACTGTCTGTGTACGTGAGGCTGTATGTATGGGAGCCTTTTGTTTTTCTCTGCAGTGGGAGCCTGTGCTCTGATGGTGTGCATTCCAGGCTTTATCAGCACTGGGAGGATGTTGCTTGGGATTTAAGGTTCTCGGAGATATTCTTGTTTGGCATTCACCAAATCCGGAGACACGTGTTGGACATGGGCATTTTATAGACTCCAACAGCACAGCAAGAACTACAACCTGCTTCAACACAAAAGGGAGAGGAGGAAAAACCAAACACAACAAAAAGCTTTTCACACAGTGTTTGAAAAGCTCCCTATTAACAAAACACATGGCATAAAATGTGCTTCTTGTTGCATTCAGGGGGAGAAGTGAAACAAACTGCTTGAGAAACGCATTCATGAGAAAGATGAGCACCAAGAAAGCTGTTTAAATTAAACAGTCACTTGTAACATCCAAACCAACAGGCAGTGCCAGCAGGAAGAGAGGAAAATGGATTACAAGGTCCGCATCCCAATCGGAGCTGGGGACTGCAGTTCCAGATATGGAGCTCCAGCCAGCTTTAGGAGGAATAAGCATATGTCCTATCTCTGAGTACCTGGAGGACCCAGGGATTAATTGCTGCTCCTTCTCAGGTGGGAAGGACTGTTTGGCTTCAGTGGGACGGATGAACGTGAAGCTGGACTACTAGAGGTGGAGAGGCTTGTGATGGTCAGCACAGACTTCGGTTGGTAAAGATCGTATTGCACAAAATGGTGTAAACTGAGCGCAGCGGATAGCTTCTCATAGCTGCTCTAGCACAGGGTTAGTTGTAAGCTCCTGGAGGGGGGAGGTCTGTCGTCGTGTGGAGCAGGTTGGTCTGCAGCTCTGAATGGGTTATGGCTGTGGCTTTGGGGGGGGCGGGTGGACATCCTTGTCCCCTCTCAGTCCCCAACTCCATACCAGCCTAGTGCTCCAGAGCCTCCACAGCACTTTGCGCAGATGGAGAGCTACAGACCCACCTGGACTGGCCACCTCCAAAATTACAGCGTGTGGAAGCAGGCTCAGCCCTGCTTTCGTGGCAAGTGCAGGCAAGGCTCAGCTCTTCTCCTTCCCTGGGGCAGTGTTGAGAAGGTTGCAGCTCTCTGTGTAGCGGTGGTGACAAAGGGATCAGATTTTTGGTTTGGTTTGTGCCCTGCCCATTGGGTATGGGCAGTCAGTCCTCACCAGACAATTCAGAAGTGTCAGAAGACAGCCTTGGCAGCAAAAGAATTAGAAGCGTAAGAAAAGGTCACCAGCAGCACGAGGCTGAGTGCTCCCCTACCAGCCCCCTGCCCTCTGGCCATGCAGGCAGCCAGCGTCAGATGTTTCCAGGCTCCGTGATGTCTCCCATCACTAACTGGGTTTTTCTGTGGAGCTGTTTTTTGCAGACATCTTTGTTTATGCAGCAGTGGCACGAGTGTGAACAAAACAGGCCTGTGCTTACCAGAGAAGCAAGGAAGGCATATGGAGAGTGAAGTACTAGCTTGAACTCTAGCGGTATTCAAAAGTGGAATGGAAGAACAGGATGTGTTCGAGGTCAGGTGATGTGGGGTAGCAGTGGAAGCAGTTATGCAAATGCATCAGTTATGCTTTTGGAAGGATATTAGGTGTTGTCATCCTGGTTTCTGTTCCTCCTCCCAGCAGTACATTGGACTGATGTGTACAAGGCAGAGTGGCCAGACGTCTCCTTTCCCTTTGCAGTGAGCGAGCGCAGAGTGGATGAGAGGCTGCAGTATGTGCCAGGACAGTGTCGCTGTCCCTTCTGGAGCTGGCTGTATGCCTGTAGAGGCTCTGTTTCCAGCTGGGAGTTGGGGCAGAAAATGCAGGATGGCTAGGAAGCCCCTGGCAGTTGGTTCAGAGATACCTAGGCTTGTACCTGGCTTTGCGTGGCAGATCCCCATCGCCTCTAGATGCAAGGAGGGCGGAGGAAGCCAGCCACATAGGTGCAGAATGTGCTAGACTGTGCATGTGTGCAGATGCAATTTAGATAGTGATTTTGGAACATTTTTCCTTAATTACAAGCAAGTGCTGTTGTATTTTCTCTCTCATCCCCTTGTCTGTCTGAAAGGGAGAAAGCTAGGGAGCGTAACCTGGTTCTGTATAACACTTTAAACGGCGTGTAAATGCCTTTATCTCTGATGGAGGCACATACAGAGCTGCCCGGCTGCGTGGATAGGTGCCCCTCAGGAGACACTCTCATCTGCAGCTGATTTCCCCCTCCCAGGGCATGGAGGCCATCGACGCCTCTGTGCAGAGTGGTCATCCTTGCATGCAGAAGGTGAGCTGGTGTCCCTCGGCTGCGAGCCATGTGGATGATGGACCCAGAGACCGCAGCTGGACTGTGCCAGGCGAGACGCAAGCACTTGGGAAAGCCACCCCACAGTGTGCAGAGAGCATGCACCATCTGGAACATGCTTCTAGCCCAGAGCCCGTCCTGCTCTGCTCCTCTTGTCTGACATGGCCTCTCAGTACTGTCCTGTCTCGTCAGCTTTCCAGCTTGCTTTGTTCCTACATTTATCTTCCTTCTGTTGTTGGACATGTGACTGAAGGCTTTAATTTATTCACAGTCCTCCTTTCGGTAATTTATCCTTTGTACTCTTTGCTGTCTTGTATTATTTAATTCTGTAAAGCACTCTGGGATGCAGCATGTATGAAAGATGCTGTACACAATAACATTATGCTTTATTGTTTGTGATTTGTAGGCCTTCTGGATTTCTAATTCCGATTGCAGTGGTGGTGTGTGTTATTTGTGTTATGGCTGTGCTCGAGGGCCTCAGCTGGATCAGGCTTCCCTTCCAGTCCCTGCATCCAAGGAGCACGCATCTAATTGTGCCCTGATTTAATGTTAGCTTGCTTTATTCTGTGTTTAATGTGTGTAATGGGAAATGCGGGACATGCCACTGGGACTGATTGCATGGGCTTGTGGTGTCATGGCTAAGGCGCAGGGCTAAACCCAGGTGTCTGACTCTTCTGTGAGCTGTGGTGGTGCCCTTCTGGAAGAGGTGGAAGTTGTGCTCTCCAGAGGTGGCACAGAGGGTGCGTGGGCTGTTGATGGGATGCCCAGGGAGGGGGCTGTTTGGGGCAGCACTAGAGCAGCTGAAGGAGAAGAGCGAGAGCTGCGTGTGAAGGGTCTCTGCTGAGCAGCGGAGCTGGTTGGAGCCAGAGGAGCTCTTCAGCCTGCTCCTGTGAAACTGGGAAGCCCAAACTAGGGCAAATTTCAGGGCTTCTGGGGATGATGTGCTGTGTTGATTGTGGGGATGCTGGCCGTTGCCCACCTCTGCTGCCAGGGTTCTTGCTGCAGTTGCACAGGTTCCGTCTGGATTCAGAGACCTTGCCATTTCTAACTGCTGTAGCTGCAGTTCAGGTTATCTGCAGGTCCAGCTCACAGCCTGCCCGTGTGCTGCCGTACTGTCCTCCAGATCTCTCACATGGGTGGGTGCTGTGGCAGGATTGGGAGAGAGGGTGGTAGGTGAGGTGGGCTCCTTGAGCAGGGGTGCCCTCCTTCCTTTGGGTTGGTGTCTTTCCTGAACCTGTAGCTCAGAAACTTCCCAGAGTCATGAGTGGCATTACAGCCCATGATTTCTATATCATTCTGTCTATGCTGAGCATAAGGTTCCCATCAGAGCAGGTTTTCCCCCTTGTCCATAGTCTGTGCTTAGTTCCGCATCATCCACTGAAAGCCACGCTTTAATTTTACTTGAGGGCTCTGGGCTTGCAGCCTGGTAGAAGCATGGCCTTCGTGTACCATGCCACAGCAGAGGAAAAGTGAGAACGGTGATGTAGGGCCTGTTGTGTTAGATCCCTGTGCTCCTGGGGCTGATGATGAGGTTGGGCTTGGCACATCCAGCTGTTCACGGTTTCCCCTTTTGCCTGGTCTCAGGTATGCCATTGACCGCAGCACAGACGCAGAGAGGATCTTTGACATCGATGCCAACACGGGTGCCATTGTGACAGGAAAGGTCCTGGACCGGGAGACGGCAGGGTGGCACAACATCACTGTCCTGGCGATGGAAGCAGGTGAGCAGCGCTGTGTGGAGCAGACTGTCTGTGCTGGACCAGAGTGGGGCAGAGGAGGAAATATGGGTGCGTTCGCTGCAGAGGTGACCAAGATGCAAGTGTTAATTAACACTGAAGTAAAAAAAAAAAATGCAGCAGCACTGAGTCTGACATCTCCCTAGACAACCTAAAAATACTCTTCCTGACTCGAGCATTAATAAGGGAGCATGGTCGAGTAGTATATTTGATGAACACTAATCAAATTTGTATTATCTATGCGCCAACTCTGCCAGTCATCCCTGTGCAGCTCGCTCCCTGCATTCACACCTGCTGAGCAGCTCCGGGGGCTCCCGGGGGGTCTGTGTTCACATCAGCCACGTCTCCCCAGTTCAGCCTGGTGCTGTGGGTGGATGCCCCGTCAGCTGGAGCCCTGGGGCACAGATGGCTGCCAGTGCTCGCTTCTGCTGGGGGCTCACAGTGGTTGGGATTTGCAGGCTGTACTGCACACTGGGTACGTGGCTCTGGATGCCTCCAGTGCTCTTCCTCCTTGGTCTCCCTGCTCTTGGTGTGGCTGCAGGCGTGGCAAGGCGCAGCAAGGAGTGAGTGGATGGGAGGTCCCAGCACTGCAGCGGTGGGAAGGAGCTGCGGGGGCAGAGCGTCCCTGACCCCCCCGTGCTGGGGATGGGGAGCAGCGGCGCTGCCAGGGCTGGTACCACCAGGCTGCTTCGGCTCTGGCTGCAGCACTTGGCCTCACCCTGCAGCCCACTGGGAGAAGTTTCAGGCAGAGGATGAGGTGAAGCTCTCTTGTCCTCTTCTGAAATTAGCTCCTTTCTGACCCTCCCACGAGAGCCCTGCTGATGGTCTCTTCCTTCCCTTATGCTGGGCTATCCTTTAGCCTGTATTTACAGTAACTGCCAAATCTGCTCACACCCAGCTGGGAGAGCCAGGAGGGAACAGCTTAGTGGCTCTGCAGGTTTTGTTAGCTTATCTTCCCTCTGCGTGATGGAGGCGGCGGAGCCTGGCGTGGATGCTTCCAGCAGAAGTTCTGTTTGTCTTTTCTTCTCCAGTTAAGAAAGAAAAGAACAAACCTGGGTCCTGCTGCTCAAAGGAGCTCTGAATAAACTCCTCCTGAGGAATGAAAAGAAAATAATAGCAGCAAAGGGTAGGCTTTGCTTCCCTGCAGGTGCTCACTGCGGGTAGGAAGCCGGTGAGGCTGCCCTGGGCATCCTGCTGCCCTTCATCGTGTTTACACAGTGTCTTGGCTCATGGGCTCTGCAGGTCCTGTATGCGGTGGCAGATCTGGCCCCATGGGCCCCAGGGAGTGCTCTCTGTTGCTCCTTTTTCCAAGCCTGAAGATGGAGAAGGGGCTTCAATCCCAGGCACCATGCTGGGAAGCAGAAAGGCATTGCCGTATTCTTCAAAGTTTTCCACATTTTGGATGCGCAAGTCACTAGGGCAGCCTGGGACGTGCTGTGCTCTGGCAGCCCATGGCAGCTGGCACCAGGGAGCTGCTTTGGCTGCAAAGCACCTTCTGACACCTGCAGACGTGTGCCAAGACCCGTCTGTCTGCGGGCAGAAGCCTTCCCCAGGCTTTGCTCCCAGAGACCCCTCAGGAGTTCTGGTTCTCATTTCTTTGCTCGTTCTTGAGCAAGAAGATGCTGCTCACATTCGAGGAGCTGTGTCGGGGCCTGACTTGGGGCCCAGAGATCGGTTCCTGCTGCAGGGCCAGCCTGCAGCAGCAGCAGCAGCCAGCTGCTCTGGCCAGGCCAGGGTGCCGGCCCCGCTGCCCCGGGAGAGGAGGGAGCAGCAGCCCCGGACAGACCCGCGCTGCCCTGGGGGGGACGTCTGTGGTTCTGCTGCATGTCCCGACCCCCTCTCTGCGCTGACGCTTCGTGCCTGCCGGATGGGGTGGCCTTTGCGCTCTCTGGCTGCATTGCTGCTGCGAGCCCTGCGCAGCATCAGGCAGCGCTGGGCAGGCGTGCTGGTGCTGCCTGGCTACGCCAGAGGAAGGGTGGCCTGCATGGCCGCAGCGTGTCCAGTGGGCTCCGTGGGGAGGCTCTGCCAGCAGCGGCTGGGGAGGAGGGGATCGCAGCGTTGCAGCACAACTCATCATCCAGAGGAAACATGAGGTGACAAGAATCAGAAGGACAATATTTACATGCAGCAGC